GTCGTAGAAATACTTTTCGTGTGCGGATCGCACCTATGGCGTGAGGCCATTGACAGCAAGTGCCCTTGATTTCCATCACCCGGCTACGCCATGGTGTGTCTTCAACTGGTGTCTACGACTATAGATGTATTACTAGCTAACGCATGAGCAATCCTGTTTTTCGGCAAGCTGGCGGCACTTGTGATGATTCCTTCCGGAGTCAGTCGCGTGTGGTGCGTATGACGTTTACACTGCAGATTGTTGGTAAAGCTATTCAAGAGGACGCATTGGTCCGCGATAAAAGGTGTGCATCTTGCGCCTTTTCCTTATATGCATTCTCGACCTGGCGGAGCTGGTCAAGCGCCACACCAAGACTACACGACAGATGTGCGGGCTACAATAGAGGAACAATTCCCTGGCACTATTCCTGATTGTGTAATTGTGTCTTCGGAGTTTAATACCAGACTCCGTGTTTTCGCGGGATGTTTCGAATGTGCAAGTGCTCGAAGACAAGCGGTTCATCGTGTACAGCTTACCGATCAGCTTGTCAAATATTGTGGACGTACTGATGTCGACGCCACAGTCGTACGCGACCATGGTACTCATCGCTCGCAACGTGTAGGTACAATTGTCGTTGAAATACTCTTCGAGTACGGAAACGACCTATGGCGTAAGGCCATTGACAGCAAGTGCCCCTGGTTTCCATCATCCGGCTACGCCATGGTGTGTCTTCAACTGGTGTCTACGACTTTAGATGTATTACTAGTTAACGCAAGAGCAGTCCTGTTTTTCGGCAAGCTGGCGGCACTTGTGATGACCCCTTCCGGAGTCAGTCGCGTGTGGTGCGTATGACGTTTACACTGCAGATTGTTGCTAAAGCTATTCAAGAGGACGCATTGGTCCGCGATGAAAGGTGTGCATCTTGCGACTTTTCCTATATGCATTCTCGACCTGGCGGAGCTGGTCAAGAGCCACACCAAGCCTACACGACAGATGTGCGGGCTACAATAGAGGAACAATTCCCTGGCACTATTCCTGCTAGTGTAATTGTGTCTTTGGGGTTTAATACCAGACTCCGCGTTTTCGCGGGCTGTTTCGAATGTGCAAGTGCTCGAAGACAAGCGGCTCATCGTGTACAGCTTACCGATCAGCTTGTCAAATATTGTGGACGTACTGATGTTGACGCCAAAGTCGTACATGATCATGTTCCTCATCGTTCGCAACGTGTAGGTACAATTGTCGTTGAAATACTTTTCGAGCGCGGATACGACCTATGTCGTGAGGCCATTGACAGCATGTGCCCTTGATTTCCATCATCCGTCTGCCCCGCAAGCAATCCCCGACGGCCCCATTCCGCCTGAAAACTGGTAGAAGACGCTCGCGTGATAGGCATTGCTGGGTCGTTGATGGAGTCTCACAATGCGATTCTTCATGGTCTCCGTGACGAAGAGTGCACCATTGTGTGGGGATACTGCAAGACCCCACGGGTATGCGAGGCACTCCATCACCAGCGGACGCAGCACTTGGCCACCGCTTGGACTCGACGCGATGCAGAAGACGCTACCTCGAGGTTTCTCGAGCGTTGTTTCGCCCAAGGGGCCGCTATCTGTGAAGAAAAGGGTGTTGTCCTGTGCGAACGCAATATCACTGGGGCCTCGGAAAGCGCGTTCCTCGTACGTATTGACCATCACGCCAGGCTCTACAGCGTCGTCCACCCGGAGGATAGCCGCATGGCCACAGTCGGCGAGGTGTAGACAACCTTGGTGGTCGAACTGGGCTCCCAAAGGCTCCCCGCCGGAAAAGACAACGGGGGCGTGAGTGTCTGGGGGCTGATACTGGAACACCTCGCCTGTTCCTGCAGACACGTAGTAGATAGAGCCGTCACTGGCAACCAACGGGCTGCAGATCTTCGCGCCACGGCACGTGATGACATCCATGGCGAGCGGTGCGCCTCTCTAAGATCTGGATCAAATACCTATTTTTCCACCAATCATCACCAGCGATTATATTGCTAGGGCCCTACACTTGACGAGATGAGTGGCAACAAGAACCCGACCAACAAGAAGCTGGAGGAGCTAGTGGAGAAGGCAGGCGTAGACAAAAGCGTACTGGAGGATCCTAAGCGTGTTGTGTGTGACGATGTGTGGACGGAGGAGCGCGAGCGGTTGGCGCGCGAGCACCTGAGCCAGGACAAGTCCACAATTCCCCAGTTCTGGCAGAGTGCGTTCGTTGGCAGTGAAATGACAATTGCATAAAGGCCGTACTACTGACAGTGTTGCTGTGTGTGTGGTAACAGACAAGTACGAAGAAGATGCAGCCAAGAGCTGGGGACAAGTTCTATAAGCGCAACTCCACTAATTTTTACAAGGACCAACACTATCTTCATTTGGTGTTTGAGGACCTGACCGTGGTGCCCCAGACCGAGGAGAAGAGGACCTTGCTGGAGGTTGGCTCCGGAGTCGGCAACGCGGCGCTGCCGCTGCTGGAGATTAATCCGGCTCTCAATATTGTGGCCATCGACTTTGCTGACTCGGCCATCGATCTACTGAAGGTGCGTACGAGAGGGATGTTTGGCTGTCTGAACGAAGTATTAACGGTTTGGTTGGCTCGCGTTGCAGACACAGCCTTTGTACGACATGGCCCGTGTGTCCGCCTCAGTGTGCGACATTACGAAGGATGCACTTCCAGACGCCGTATTCGCTAATGGTGGCGTGGATTTTGCGCTCTTATTGTTCAGCTTGTCGGCACTGCACCCGGACAAGATGAAGGCTGCGGTAAAGAAAGTAGTTGCGGCGATCAAGCCTGGAGGCAAACTCTTCTTCCGTGACTATGGCCGATACGACCAGGCACAACTTCGCTTCCGCTCTGGCTGCAAGCTCCAGGAAAACTTTTACGTCCGCCAAGACAACACGCGAGCGTATTACTTCACAACAGAGGAGATTGCGGATATTTTCACTGAGGCAGGTCTTGTTCCGGTGGAAAACGAGTATATCCGTCGCCAGTACGCCAACAGACTGCAGAATGTCGTTCGCTTCCGTGTGTGGGTACACGCAATCTTCGAGAAGCCTCCCACCGCCACGGACACAACACAAAAATGAGTTGTTTGCCGCACTCGTGTTACTACCAAAATAATACTTCCGAGGTATATTCTCTACAGTACAGTAGACGCACGTTTTGGTACGAACAGCACCAGGCTTCATCTATCTCTTTAGGTTGCCAGGTGGTGTTACATGTCAACGAAGACGCGGTTGTCAATCTCCGTCACGAGAGTCACGTTCGCCTCCTCAGATGGAGCATCATGGCCCCAAATGCAAGCGCCACGCTTCTCATCGGGAGCCAGGTGAATGCGAACTTTCAATGCAGCAGCATTCTTGATGTACTCTGGATGCAAGAGGATGGCGATGGCATAGGCGTCGCATGGAAAGAAGCCTTGGTTCTTGCAGAACTCTCTTGTGAACTTACAGATCTTCTTGACATACTCATCGTTGGAGTTCACCTCCTCATGGAAAATTCTGTCGAATGTATTCCAGGGAACAGCGTTGTCCAGGCATGTCTCGAACGGCACGACGTACAGCTTCTTCGCACTGCAATGCTGATAGACAATGTCGGTGGCCTCAGGGTCGCAACTGACATTGAACTCAGCGTGTGGCGTGTGGTTGTTTCCCCACGTGACAATCCTCCCATGACAACGAATTGCTTTACATCCGTCGTGAAGTTCGGGTCCAGCAGCATCGCCAGTGCAATGTTAGTCAGTGGACCTACTGCTGCAATAACCAACTCTCCGCTGTACTTGTGCGCCAGGTCGATCAGCGCGTGCACCGCTTCGTTGCGTCGCGGAGCAGTCAGTGGGGATTCCGTCTTGCCCGATTCACCTCCAAGACCATCCGGGCCGTGGCCCTAAAAGGAAAATGATCGCATCAGTCCTGACGTGGAAAAATCCGGCTACGCCATGGTGTGTCTGCAACTGGTGTCTACGGCTATAGATGTATTACTAGCTAACGCATAAGCAATCCTGTTTTTCGGCAAGCTGGCGGCACTTGTGATGACCCCTCCCGGAGTCAGCCGCGTGTGGTGCGTATGACGTTTACACTGCAGATTGTTGCCAAAGCTATTCAAGAGGACGCATTGGTGGTGCGTATGACGTTTACACTGCAGATTGTTGCGAAAGCTATTCAAGAGGACGCATTGGTCCGCGATAGAAGGTGCGCATCTTGCGACTTTTTCTATATGCATTCTCGACCTGTCGGAGCTGGTCAAGCGCCACACCAAGACTACACGACAGATGTGCGGGCTACAATAGAGGAACAATTCCCTGGAACTATTCCTGCTAGTGTAATTGCGGCTTTGGAGTTTAATACCAGACTCCGCGTTTTCGCGGGATGTTTCGAATGTGCAAGCGCTCGAAGACATGCGGCTCATCGTGTACAGCTTACCGATCAGCTTGTCAAATATTGTGGACGTACTGATGTCGACGCCAAAGTCGTACATGATCATGTTCCTCATCGGTCGCAGCGTGTAGGTGCAATTGTCGTTGAAATACTCTTCGAGTGCGGATACGACCTATGGCGTGAGGCCATTGACAGCAAGTGCCCCTGATTTCCATCATCCGGCTACGCCATGGTGTGTCTTCAGCTGGTGTCTTCGACTATAGATGTATTACTAGCTAACGCATGAGCAATCCTGTTTTTCGGCAAGCTGGCGGCACTTGTGATGACCCCTTCCGGAGTCAGTCGCGTGTGGTGCGTATGACGTTTACACTGCAGATTGTTGCCAAAGCTATTCAAGAGGACGCATTGGTCCGCGATGAAAGGTGTGCATCTTGCGACTTTTCCTATATGCATTCTCGACCTGGCGGAGCTGGTCAAGAGCCACACCAAGACTACACGACAGATGTGCGGGCTACAATAGAGGAACATTTCCCTGGCACTATTCCTGCTAGTGTAATTGTGTCTTTGGAGTTTAATACCAGACTCCGCGTTTTCGCGGGATGTTTCAAATGTGCAAGTGCTCGAAGACAAGCGGTTCATCGTGTACAGCTTACCGATCAGCTTGTCAAATATTGTGGACGTACTGATGTCGACGCCAAAGTCGTACATGATCATGTTCCTCATCGTTCGCAGCGTGTAGGTACAATTGTCGTTGAAATACTTTTCGAGTGCGGATACGACCTATGTCGTGAGGCCATTGACAGCCAGTGCCCCTGATTTTCATCGTCCGGCTACGCCATGGTGTGTCTTCAACTGGTGTCTACGACTATAGATGTATTACTAGCTAACGCAAGAGCAATCCTGTTTTTCGGCAAGTTGGCGGCACTTGTGATGACCCCTTCCAGAGTCAGTCGCGTGTGGTGCGTATGACGTTTACACTGCAGATTGTTGCCAAAGCTATTCAAGAGGACGCATTGGTCCGCGATGAAAGGTGTGCATCTTGCGACTTTTCCTATATGCATTCTCGACCGGCCGGAGCTGGTCAAAAGCCACACCAAGACTACACGACAGATGTGCGGGCTACAATAGAGGAACAATTCCCTGGAACTATTCCTGCTAGTGTAATTGTGTCTTTGGGGTTTAATACCAGACTCCGCGTTTTCGCGAGCTGTTTCGAATGTGCAAGTGCTCGAAGACAAGCGGCTCATCGTGTACAGCTTACCGATCAGCTTGTCAAATATTGTGGACGTACTGATGTCGACGCCAAAGTCGTACGCGACCATGGTACTCATCGTTCGCAACGTGTAGGTACAATTGTCGTTGAAATACTTTTCGAGTGCGGATACGACCTATGTCGTGAGGCCAATGAGAGCAAGTGCCCCTGATTTCCATCATCCGGCTACGCCATGGTGTGTCTTCAACTGGTGTCTACGACTATAGATGTATTACTAGCTAACGCATAAGCAATCCTGTTTTTCGGCGAGCTGGCGGCACTTGTGATGATACCTTCCGGAGTCAGTCGCGTGTGGTGCGTATGACGTTTACACTGCAGATTGTTGCTAAAGCTATTCAAGAGGACGCATTGGTCCGCGATAAAAGGTGTGCATCTTGCGACTTTTCCTATATGCATTCTCGACCTGGCGGAGCTGGTCAAGAGCCACACCAAGACTACACGACAGATGTGCGGGCTACAATAGAGGAAAAATTCCCTGGCACTATTCCTGCTAGTGTAATTGTGTCTTTGGCGTTTAATACCAGACTCCGCGTTTTCGCGAGCTGTTTCGAATGTGCAAGTGCTCGAAGACAAGCGGCTCATCGTGTACAGCTTACCGATCAGCTTGTCAAATATTGTGGACGTACTGATGTCGACGCCAAAGTCGTACGCGACCATGTTCCTCATCGTTCGCAACGTGTAGGTACAATTGTCGTTGAAATACTTTTCGAGTGCGGATACGACCTATGACGTGAGGCCAATGAGAGCAAGTGCCCCTGATTTCCATCATCCGGGTACGCCATGGTGTGTCTTCAACTGGTATCTACGACTATAGATGTATTACTAGCTAACGCATAAGCAATCCTGTTTTTCGGCAAGCTGGCGGCACTTGTGATGACCCCTTCCGGAGTCAGTCGCGTGTGGTGCGTATGACGTTTACACTGCAGATTGTTGCGAAAGCTATTCAAGAGGACGCATTGGTCCGCGATAGAAGGTGCGCATCTTGCGACTTTTCCTATATGCATTCTCGACCTGGCGGAGCTGGTCAAGAGCCACACCAAGACTACACGACAGATGTGGGGGCTACAATAGAGGAACAATTTCCTGGAGCTATTCCTGCTAGTGTAATTGTGTCTTTGGCGTTTAATACCAGACTCCGTCTTTTCGCGGGATGTTTCGAATGTGCAAGTGCTCGAAGACAAGCGGTTCATCGTGTACAGCTCACCGATCAGCTTGTCAAATATTGTGGACGTACTGATGTCGACGCCAAAGTCGTACATGATCATGTTCCTCTTCGCTCGCAGCGTTTAGGTACAATTGTCGTTGAAATACTTTTCGAGTGCGGATACGACCTATGTCGTGAGGCCAATGACAGCAAGTGCCCCTGATTTCCATCATCCATCTACGCCATGGTGTGTCTTCAACTGGTGTCTACGACTCTAGATGTATTACTAGCTAACGCATAAGCAATCCTGTTTTTCGGCAAGCTGACGGCACTTGTGATGACCCCTTCCGGAGTCAGTCGCGTAAGGTGCGTATGACGTCAACACTGCAGATTTTTGCCAAAGCTATTCAAGAGGACGCATTGGTCCGCGATGAAAGGTGTGCATCTTGCGACTTTTCCTATATGCATTCTCGACCTGCCGGAGCTGGTCAAAAGCCACACCAAGACTACACGACAGATGTGCGGGCTACAATAGAGGAGCAATTCCCTGGAACTATTCCTGCTAGTGTAATTGTGTCTTTGGGGTTTAATACCAGACTCCGTGTTTTCGCGGGATGTTTCGAATGTGCAAGTGCTCGAAGACAAGCGGTTCATCGTGTACAGCTTACCGATCAGCTTGTCAAATATTGTGGACGTACTGATGTCGACGCCAAAGTCGTACATGATCATGTTCCTCATCGCTCGCAGCGTTTAGGTACAATTGTCGTTGAAATACTCTTCGAGTGCGGATACGACCTATGTCGTGAGGCCATTGACAGCAAGTGCCCCTGATTTCCATCATCCGGCTACGCCATGGTGTGTCTTCAACTGGTGTCTACGACTATAGATGTGTTACTAGCTAACGCAAGAGCAATCCTGTTTTTCTGCAAGCTGGCGGCACTTGTGATGACCCCTTCCGGAGTCAGTCGCGTGTGTGCGTATGACGTTTACACTGCAGATTGTTGCGAAAGCTATTCAAGAGGACGCATTGGTCCGCGATGAAAGGTGTGCATCTTGCGACTTTTCCTATATGCATTCTCGACCTGGCGAGAGCTGGTCCAAGAGCCACACCAAGCCTACACGACAGATGTGCGGGCTACAATAGAGGAACAATCCCTGGCACTATTCCTGCTAGTTTAATTGTGTCTTTGGAGTTTAATACCAGACTCCGCGTTTTCGCGGGCTGTTTCGAATGTGCAAGTGCTCGAAGACAAGCGGCTCATCGTGTACAGCTTACCGATCAGCTTGTCAAACATTGTGGACGTACTGATGTCGACGCCAAAGTCGTACGCGACCATGTTCCTCATCGTTCGCAACGTGTAGGTACAATTGTTGTTGAAATACTTTTCGAGTGCGGATACGACCTATGGCGTGAGGCCATTGACAGCATGTGCCCCTGATTTCCATCATCCAACTACGCCATAACTGGTGTCTACGACTATAGATGTATTACTAGCTAACGCAAGAGCAATCCTGTTTTTCGGCAAGCTGGCGGCACTTGTGATGACCCCTTCCGGAGTCAGTCGCGGGTGGGGCGGATGACGTTTACACTGCAGATTGTTGCCAAAGCTATTCTAGAAGAGGCATTGGTGGGGCATATGACGTTTACACTGCAGATTATTGCTAAAAGCTATTCAAGAGGACGCATTGGTCCCCGATGAAAGGTGCGCATCTTGCGACTTTTTCTATATGCATTCTCGACCTGCCGGAGCTGGTCAAGAGCCACACCAAGACTACACGACAGATGTGCGGGCTACAATAGAGGAACAACTCCCTGGCACTATTCCTGCTAGTGTAATTGTGTCTTCGGAGTTTAATACCAGACTCCGTGTTTTCGCGG